TAACTATCCCAGCGACTGCAGATGCTCTGAAGATAAGAAACCCATCAGTGGTACGATCAAGAATATTGCGTGAATAATTCATGAAAAATTTAAGGCGCTGGAGATAATAAATCTCGCTAAATGCAAATCGGATATCTTTAGTAGAGAAACCCCCTACGATGTCTTTTGTCAACCGAAATCTATAGCGTTACCTGAAGTCCTCGGAGCAACGATAGTGATAGTAGTGATGTATATGTATTTATTTCATACAACATAGGCCACAAGGATACAAACCAGTTTACAGGTTTGATCACTTTGGCAATGAAAAATGGCTATTATGTACAGTGTTAAGCTGCACATTAGATACCGCTATTCATGGCATATTAGAGGTGTGTTGAAGCAGGCTCAGTTTGGATTTGAAGATTATCTGGTTATCTTTTGAATCTTTCAACATTCTTGAAGGCGGGGCCACAGCACAGTCATGACCTTGGAGTGTGTGCGTTCGTCATAAGGTTTCGATGGCCTGGCACACACCGGCAAATGCGGTTTCTAGGATTGCATATGAATGCAGGACTGGTTAGGTATATCTGAAAAGTGAATAACAAAGGTGAGCAGCAGGCGAAATTCAAAACAGGAGCACAAACATATGCAGGAGTAGATCAACCATGATACATCTGGGTGAGTTCATTGTACTGACTACAAAACTTACTTCAAGAAGTATCCAGAACAAACTGTTTAGAGGTAAGCTTAGGTGGAAGAAGATGAAGTTGCACACGACGGTAGTGAAAATCAGTTCGAAGCGGAAGATATCACCACGAAATAGAGAGATTAGAGGATTTTGGACCAGGTATTCACTTATTATATATCTATGTACAAACGTTTGACAAACTTATAAACATTTAAGTGAAATTCATGGTTTTTTCTAAGATGGTAACCACACTTTATCTAGTCACTGGGAAGGGATGATCATGGTGTTACCTGTTGAGTACTACCATATCAGGGCTACCGAAACAAAATGTTGGTGCAGATAGTTCATTTATCAATCAGGAATGAAAAGGTCATTTTAAGGGAAGGATTTTGAGAAATGGGTGTTAAGCAGTGAGATCAGTTAGGTTATGAAGAAATGTAGGTTACATTATAGTAGCTACTGAGTTCACTGCTGCAAACTGTATCGCATTCAGCTTCCTGTTCACTCTTGGTCATTTTTTTAAAGAAATTAGATTTTTAACTTAACTATTGCTTTCAGTTTTCGGCATTGTATAGTTTTGTCATTGCCGTTGGTCTCCCTTGGGTCTAGGTACCAGCAGTACCATTGTGTATGCTATTACAGTTTGTGGTTTGGCCGTTAGCGAGTTGATGAGAGTCGTTAGATAGGAGTCCACTAAGTAATCGTTGAAAGTGGCCGGGAGATCGACACGCTCGCATAGGAACAGAGAGTTTGTTCCACAGCATACTGTACTGCATTATAAAAAACCTACATCGAAGTTTTGAGTGATACTTGTTTATTGGGATGGTGTACTCGCTTTTACGCAGATTATATGCCTGTGTTGATTTAAAAGCGATAGCACATTTCTTTCTAGAGTTTCCAAACAAAAGACGAACAAGAAATGCTAGGTTGAGCTTCAGGCGTGTCAGCCAGAGTGATCCCAGCTCCAGTTTTTCGCATCTTGCTTCGTAAGGAGGTCCTTCGTTTTGTATTGGTAGGCGCTGAGTAAAGTTTCGTTGGATGATCTCTACTCTAATCCTGTCCAATATTTTCATGTTACCATAGATAACCGTGCAGTACTCTAATATTGAGCGAACCATAACCTTGCACAGAATAAGTTTTGCCTCAGGTTTCACGTGCTGCTGTGAAGTGTAAGTTAGGCACATTTGAGCAACGTTCTACCTTAAATTGTTTGTCTAGATCAATCAGTGTGTACAAAATACAGTATCCAACTGGGCGAAAATCTAGTCAAAAAATTAGGAATATAGAGGAGTGAAAAAGGGTAGTCAGAAGTGATAGAAGTTATAAAATTGTACTACGATTAAAGTGAGAACAATATGTAGATGCATCCGCGCACAGCCCACAGTAACAAATATCACAATTCGTCTTTGAAAAGGTTCTCCTTCAATGATTCAGTCAATTTAAATTTAGAGAGAACAAAGGGCTAAGAAAAATGCATTCCCTAACTTACAGTCGGACCATATAAAGATCTACACTAACTTAACATATGGACGTATTTCACCTCTTTTTGAAAGTAACACTGGTAAGGAAACTCTCACAACAAAATATGAGTTCAAAGAAAACCATCGTCGTGTCCCGCACCATCATAGCTGAAGCAATGCTGATGCTTCGACCTAACTAAGGGACATCTAGAGCTTCATGTCTCAGCTAAAAATCTGAAGGACAATTCAAGTTCAGATACTTCATCGATACCACATGCTGTGAGCTTAACCTAGCTTGTCTGTCCCTATGAAAAACCGACTGTAACTATACATGTTAACACACACACACACAACGAACTCACATTAATGTAACATGGGCATGATCACAATCATGAATCCGCTTTAAAAACATAAAGGAACTGCAAAAGCTATCTTTGAGATGGCTAGACGTTGCTAACTGACAACGGTGTCAGCCTCTAACAGGTAAAAGTCAGATTATGTTAGGCAGATAAAAGGAAAGCAAAGAGAATGCATGTTCCTTTTAAATCTCAAATCGCTTCGGACATGTAACAAACGTGAACATGCTGTTAGTGACAGTCAGTTGCTGTGACAATGTTATTTTCTGAAAGTTAGGAACGACCAGTCAGATAAACTGGAAAACTAATCCATTGAGTAAACCTGTATGATTTTACATGCAGATTCACTGTCTTCTTTGCGTGGCATATGTCAGTGCAAACGGGACTGCTGGGTCACATATATCGGGTGCAGTTCTAATTTAGTGTTAAACTAAATACGGTAATGCTAACAGTGCTACTTTTGCTTTCTAGTGGCTTCCGTTGATGAAGGTTGGGACCCATGTGGCAAATCAATTTGTTGATTAGAGACTGAAGATGATATAGCTCATAATTAATCTCGGTGACCCAGGTGTACACGCACTTTCTTTCATCCTGATCATCACATCTCATTTTACTATTGTCTTACTTGATTTTCCTAAGTTCTTATAGGTTTCTACGACTTAATTCAATCTTATTTTCTTGCTTCCCTACCTTTCACTTTACTGCATTAAATTTTGATGAAAGGTGTGACAATGGATTGTTAAGTGATGCCAAGTCCCGTAGGTGAACTGTGATCACTCATCGTTGAACTGAATACTAAATAAGATACCGCAGATGTTTTAAATAAAATACAAACACATACAGTATCAGTAACAAGCGAGTGTTAAGATTGTCTATCTTTGAAGTAAGCTGAGTGATGACGAGGATGGATTGTAGTGTTGCTAACTGCGTAAGTTGATCAAAACATCCTAGAGAACCAGTTGATAAACCGAAAGGATGGAGAATCGTGACTTGATACGCTGTTGTATACCTGTCTGGTTTATGATGTGGAAAATTATTTCTTCATAACTAAAGCAGATTAGAAAACGGGTTGTTCTTTTTCTGTCTGGTGAGTGTATGGGAATGTAAAACCAAAGCTTGCTTGAGGCTAGTTCAGATATAGTTCTGTACAGACTTGTTAACAAATCTTAAATATTAAAGACCTCAGATACAGGACCGAACGGCAAACGACTGGATACTTTTGGAGTTAAAAATCAACTATGTTAAACATGAATAGTACTCGAATAAAAATTCATAGTCGAACTGTATTGCGTCTTAGTCAGTTGAAGTCAGGTGCAATAATGTCGGAACCTACAAGCATATATTCTCGGTTATGAACATTCGAAATGATGATTTCTCGAGTTCTGTGGACTGGTTTGTGCCAGGAACAAATTGGAATCGGCATGTGGTTGATATTACCTGTTGTTGCTGCATCCCATGAATTCGAAGTCAGTAACCCTGGAAAGCAGGCTTTCAAAGTCTCCTCAACGATCTGCTTATCGGCGTACAGCTAAATAATAGTAGATGTAATGTTCACTACGGTTAGAAACTACATTTTATCATTTGCAAACATCGGAACAAAGTCGGCAACTGAAGACATAAAAACGACAGGAACCAAAACAGAAATAACTGGTTATCTTAATCACCACTTAATTGAAACTGTTAGGTGAAGCCATTCATATAGTGCAAATAAGTGACTAGGTGGCGTTTTGATTATCTGAATGCAATCTTGGTCTCATTCACTAAACCGTTGTAAACAGCAAATATTTAAACACGTTCTGATGCACTTGACCAGTCTGTTAATTGAGTTAGACTCCTAGAATAAGCATTTTTTAAAACATGTGGTAGTTAAGAAACTAAAACTAAGTTTGAAAAGTAGTGCCCAACTCCAGTTTTCAGTAGATACTTCCTACCAAAACTGAACAAAATGGACTATTTAAGAATTCATACAGCGGTTAATTAACCTTTATAGATTAAAAACTACACGCCACATGTTAGTTAAGATACTAAGTTGATAAATCAGCAGTCATCTTGAGATTACAAAATAACAAATTCACATTTATGGAATAAGCCTATACGGCTGATGGATGTCCAGCATATTCATCTTCATCTTGCGAAACGTTTTCTTGTTGGGTACACAGTACCTTAGTAGACGACGTTGAAATTGAGCTAGCATCATGTATAGATGAAAGATTTCCAAGCATAGAATTTGTTACATTAAATTGGTAGCAAACTGCCATTATAGGTAGACAAGGATTGGCTGCATGAACATAGGAACAAGGGGCGATGTTTGACGTCCCATTGTGTGACACATTACTTCCAAAGATGGAAGTGGAGAGACAGAAATTTCACGGTTATTTTGTGGACACTTCTGGTAAGATTTAAGACTATCTCTGTCGAAAGCTACTCCTACTTGACATACTGCGCAGTTATTCATTACCGAACTAACACATTGCTTTGGGAAATTTTGTTTGTGTTGTGAGTTGCAGGCCAAAAGCCTCAAGAATTGTCGAATCCAACCTCCATGACTAACCTGATGCAAATCGAAATGTGAAATTCCAGTTGGTCAAAAATACTGCGGCAAAAACATTAAAACAACGGTAATAATGATACAACCCATTATTGATGCACAGAAAAACATGCTAGCGAATATTTCCCATCAACAAATAAAGCGAATTTCCTTCAAGTAAATAAATCGATTATTTTCAAAATATAATCAAACATGGTTGTAATCTTACTTGGTAAGCTGTTGTAATAATTTATTTAAATCAGAAAGCTTCAAATAGTAAAGTATTTTTAGGTGACCATGAAGAAAAAAATCCTCACGTCTTGGTTTTAACACCTCACATTCTCCAGATAAGCGAAATCTGAACTAATAAGTACATCAACGTATTTTAAGGAGGAGGTTTAAACTATATCATGCCAACTACTAATAACCCTTAGAGAGCACGTATACTTAACAGCTAAGGATAGCATATTCCTTACTTCAACTTTTTAAGTTACTCCAAAGCTACTTGCGTTTTTACAGACGAGGGAACAATAGCAATTATCGCGAAAACTTATCAAGACAGACTTCGCTTCATTTGCTCACCTACGTACTCGAAAACAGTTCAGAAATTACGCCATATTCACAAAGAAACAAACTTCACCGAATTTATGATCAGTTGCAAACATGCGACTGTAGTGGACCAGTATTTAATACTAATGCAGACTAGCGATAAAATTTGAGCACACAGCCGATAACAACAGCGGCAAAGTGAGGAAGTGTCAACCACTACATCGGATATTCAGCTTGGAAATTATTATTATTTTTCCCTTGGGTTGCTAGTGGAACATATGGCTTAAGTAGCACGCCTCCATTTCACTTTGTTCTCTGAAGTCTTTCGAATCTCGCTCCACGACTGCTCATGAGCCCTCATTTCTTCCTCACATGATCTCCTCCATGTCACCCTCGCCGCGGATGCCCAACTCGTCGTTTCCCATGGGGATTCCACTCGAGGGTCTGGCCTGGCGCATTATGTCTCCAGTAGGCCTTCTCAGTGTATGCCCATTCCACCTCCACTTTCTTCTACTGCATATTTGTTGTGTGATAGCTTCTTGGTTGGTTCGTTTCCAGAGTTCCTTGTTACTTATTCTTTCTGGCCATTTGATCTTCAGTATGGAGTGAGCGTAGGCGGCAGCTGTTGATGAATGTCTGTAGTTTGTTGGAAATGCTTTTCGTAACGCGTCAAGTCTCTGAACCACCACCTAGAAGCACAGACTTGACGTTGGTGTTGAAAATCCGGATCTCGTTCACGCTCTATGCTGAGTGCAGTCGATTTCCACACTGATTTCAGATTAATGGAAGCCTGTCTTGCTGTCTTGCCGATCCTGGTTTTCACATCCTCATCACTGCCGCCGCCTGTGGTTGAAACGACGCTACCTAGGTAGGTGAGAGAGACCACTTCCTCTAGATTTCTCCCGCTTATGGTGATCGGTGCTTGTTGGTGTCGTTGTTGTCTGAGCATCTTCATCACCTCCATCTTCTCTACATTCACCTGAAGGAAGTCCCGTCTTCGCTGCACTGCCTCTTCTGTCAACTTGTTGGTTTTCGCCTATAGATCTTCGAGTTTGTGCGACAAGCCATTAGACACAAATCATCATCATCGGCGAAATTGAGACCTTCTTCTGGGGTCTTTTCATCGGTCCGGTCAGCGTATGCCCACGGTCTGTTTCATGATGCAGTCCAGTCGACCACAATCAGCAAGATCGTCGGTGATAGTAGGTTGCAGCCTTTTCTTACTTCTGTCTTCACTTTAACGGCATCACTGAAATTTCCATTGTGGATCACTTGACATATGGCGTCGTCACACAGTTGTTAAAGGTTTGTGGTATTCCATAGTGTTGAAGCAACTGCCTGCCAAATCACTTCTCGGTCGACGCTGTCGAAGGTCTTTTCGAAATCGATGAAGTTGAGGTAGAGAGTTGACTCAGCTTGGAAATAGGTATTACAAAATCTTGTACAAATTGATAAGTGTTAAACAATCACTGTGTCATTAATGTAAGAGTAAAAATTGGGCACTGTGGTAGAATATAGTTCAATACTAAACTATTTAATTTGATGTAGCACACAGTTAAACAGTATTTTCTATTGGATGACGTTTTGAGCGTTAGCACTGTTCACACAATTATTCCACAGCATACATGTAATGCTAAGAAGACACCTATTTCATCCCTGTCACTGGTGAGATATCCGATTACCTATGCTTCACTGCAGTTCGGTCCGCCCTATATACGACTGTGAGAATCGGTCGCTGGAAAAGAGTATGTGAAGGGGTTAAAGGTTTTTGAACATAGGTGTCCTCTTAGCAATACATACGTGGTGGAATTATGTGAACAATGTTAACGCTCAGAACGTCATCTTATAAAGAGTAATGTTTCACTATGTGCTGTATTAAAATAACTAATTTAATATTGAACTATTATTCTACCACGGTGCCCAAATTTTACTCCAACATTAATGACAGTGATTGTTCAACACTCAATCTGTGCAAGATTTTTTAATGCCTTTTTCCAAGCTGAGTATCTGGTGTAGTGGCTGACAATGTCCTACTTTACAACTGTGAGTCATAGCCTTCAGAAACAGATAATGTAGAAAGACTAGATGTGTTTGATTGTAGATAGTATTGAAGTAATTGTTATTTTTGGCAAGATCACCAAGACAGAACTACTGTAGTATGCAACAAGGTTAGGTCAAAAAAGTGAATTCATCAGGTTCTGAATTTATGTCGGCTGACTTATGTATATCAAGTGCCTACCTACCTAGCAAAAAATGATATCCTAAAATATTATCCTCTCCTGTGCGCTCAAGAATTATGGGAACTCGACCTGATGTACCGTTTTACACGGGTCTACATCGCGTATCATATGATAGGTTTTTGGTGTTAAATCACGGATGTCGATCCCGAACAGTTGTCAATCATCATCATAATGCGCATTTACTTTTGTGGTTTACGCCATAGCAGTAATTGTATTATGGTATGATAGAACGTTAAATGACCATTGTTTTAACCAGCATGGTCCGTTGAGATACGAAAGCCTAACAATCACCTTTAAGTAGAAGTTGCTGATATTATAGGGCGTTTTCGTCTTATTCTGAAGGAAGACAAAAGACAGTCTCTACGCGACTTCATACCGTACGTGAAAAAGTGATGGAAAATCACCAAATCAAAATAATTCTCTAGAAACTGAGGATGAAAAAAATGTCTTTAGAAGCTCTCCTATCAAACAGACAGATAGATAAAATCGGAGTGGAACCCTTTTACAGCAGCATGCAAAGAACACGTGTTTGGAGAGTGATTTCAAAGCAGACAAAGGTGTATTGCAGGAGAAACAATTTGAAGATGAGTTAATGAAACCACTCAAGATGTCAGACAGTAAATACATAAGCAACATTGTGACTGATTTTCAGCCACGTCGTCAAGGGTCTGCAATCATTGATTCCTATCATTTTAGGGACCCCAGTCCGGTAGTCTATACCTTCGTACACGAAAGAGATCAAGACTCAAAGAAATCATTGACTGGCTCTGACCACCCTGAACAATGCCCAACCCATACTACTAAAATTGCATATAGAGAGACGTGCTGGCCTGGTATGCGCAACATATGTCCAAGACACCTTAGTCCAGGACGGTTTACAACATCATCAGCTGGCCAGGCACGGTGTGGGCAGCTGAGAAGTATCAACGGCCAGAACGCTTCCAGTAGTACACAAAATACGACCGATCCTCTCAAACTCTGTCACATTCTTCGCATCTGCCATCACCTGATACTAATATTGGGCCACTTACGCTTCACCCAACGTCTCACCTTGCAAACACTGTCAACGTTCAAAGCCATCGATACCTCATTCCCAATCTCCGAACCTCGCTGTCGATTTCATGTAAGAGCTTTCAACGTCAGAACGGTAAACGAAATCGCAGAGCAAGTATCACCCGCCAGAACTCCGGAATCTGTAGCCACAGATGTGTGGTAATTAAACTGAAATCACCTGATTTGTGCTGTGAATCATCAAAACGAACCTCAAGAGTATCCGGAGACCCAAAGGCTTGCTTTCTTAAATTCACTGGTGTAGGCATAATATTGAGGTGTAGAGTAGAAAGTGAGCAGTCATTTGTGTGACATTTGACTGGATGAATCTGCAAAAAATAGGAAGGATCGTAGACCAGCCGATGCCTATTGGTAATCTCTGCCTACGCACCTACCGACTGCAGTTCGGATGATGCAAAGGACGAATTCTAAGAGAAGCCGTCAGTTTCGCTTTTGAACACAAAACGTTCAAATGTAGTCATAATGGCAGGTGACTTTAACGCTCAAGTGAGGAAAGTGAGCTGAGTCGTCAATCGGCAAGGCCTATGCCTATGGTAGATGTTTATGGAATCTCATGCTAATGAGCCGACAACGGTGATCGTCGTTTGCGATTTTGTTTTGACAGTCACTTGTTTCTGGACAGCACTAACTTCAAAAATAGGGAGGAACACTGTCTCAAATGGTCTCCTCCAACTATTAAACCAACGATAGACGCAGACTAAATTGCTATAAGCCAATCGGCCGAGAGGATTGGTGGAGGATTGCAGATCTCTCTCAAGAAAGATTAGGACTCTGATCACGCGCTACTATACATCTGTGCCTTACTGGTTGCAGGAAACATGTGATAGTAAACCATATCTATGCTCCATTGGAAGAGGAGGACGCCAAATATGTATTTCGGGAGGAGTTAGTCAGGCATTTATCTGAACTTGACAGCAATGCTCATCTTGACGAAACCCTGCGTTGTATTAAGTCTACTGTAGAAGCAGCGGTAAAGACAATTGGTAATCTTCACCCTACGGTTACTAAACATCATTGGATTTCTGCAACGCCATCGGAAATGATTAACACGAGTAGACTTATTTCACCTGGCCCTGACCACAGTATAGAACGAAAGCAACTAAAACGTAAGTTGACCAAGAGTCTTCTTAGTGATCATGGGAGTGGTGGGTGGCGGAAGCGAGA